AATACCAAACGGTAACAGTTAATGTCTCAATGATTTCCGACTGCCATAATCGTATCCGTACTAGCAATCAAATATGTGAGTGTAAACCAGACTTGGTGTGAACCTGACATCAGTAGCTACGCCTCTATCTATGTTGACAATAAGAACTCAAATGGCAACTTCGTATGTTCACATAATGAACACAATAAATGGTAGCAGTAGTAATTGTAGGCTTGTTTAAGTATAAATAGAGGCTATAACCTCAGTTGTAAGACACCACAAAACAGAGAGTGTAGTGTGTAATACTTAGAGTGAGTATTAGAGGGTTGTTTCTTTTTCTTGTAATATTGAGCGTGTAAGCTCTTCTCTTTTGTTCTAGTTCTGAATAAAAGTGTGTTTCAACCCCAACAAGTGGTATCAGAGCTTGGTTAAGCTCCGGGGGAAGCATTCTCTGTTTTTTGGTCGAAATTTTTTTGTCTCAAAAACAATTTCGGAGTACACCGTTGGAAAGGTCTCGTTCTGAGGATTCCGAAAATATATTTTTTTTTGAATTTTTTGACCACCGGAAGACCTCCAAATCACCAGTCAAAGTTGGTCAAATCTGCCGGAAAAGTCGCCGGAAAAACCAGGGTTCGCCAGAGAAGACGGTACTGTAGCAGCACTGTAGCAGTGACATCAGCAGTGACGTCAGCAGCTGACCAAAGTTCTGGAAATTGCAGTTTAGCCCCTGTTCTTCCGGAAAGTGCAATTTTAGCCCCTGTTTTTCAGAAAAATTGCAATTTTGGTCCCGTTTTCAGAAAAATTTGAATTTAGCCCCTGTTTTACTTCTGTAAAAGTTCTGTTTGCCCCCTGAACTTCTGATAAGTTCATATTGGTCCCCGTACTTCAAAAAAAAAAAAAAAAAAAAAAAAAGAAAAAAAATATATTCTTACTCGTGTATGCCCAAGTATATGCCAAGAATGACTACACCAACCTCGTCATCTTCTCAAGCCGGAGTTGAAAGTTTTCAAAGGACCGGGAAAGGCGGTAGCGTTACGTTACACTATCCAAAGCTCACGAAGATGAACTACGCGGTGTGGGCCATAAAAATGCGAGTGAATTTACAAGCACAAGGAGTATGGGATGTAATTAAAAATGCAGAAACGGACGAACGTAAAGATCGGATGGCTCTTGCGGCTATTAATCAAGCAATTCCAGAGGACGTACTTCTGATGTTAGCTGAGAAGGACACAGCTAAAGAAGCATGGGAAATGCTCAAGATGATGCACATGGGAGCCGATCGGGTCAAGGAGGCTAAAGCTCAAACCTTGAGAAGTGACTTCGAGGTGATCCGGATGAAAGACAGTGAATCGGTAGATGATTTTTCCATGAGATTGAATACTATCGTAACCGGTATTCGATCTCTTGGTGAAAAGATTGAAGAATTACGGTTGTGAAGAAGTTTTTGCGAGCCGTACCGATACGATTTATACAAATCGTAACATCGATCGAGCAATTCGGAGATTTGAAGAATATGACGGTGGAAGAAGTTGTGGGTCGTCTTAAGACCCATGAAGAGAGACTTCGAAGCTATGGAGAAAAAGAAGAAGGACCTTCTCTATTGCTTACACATGCCGAGTGGGCATCTCGTTCGAAGCAAATTGGCAAGAGAAACTCGTCAAACACTTCAAGAGGACGAGGAGGACATGGTAACCGAGGCCGGGGACGAGGCCGAGGTCGTGGACGTGGCCAAGGAGGTGGTCGCGAGTACAATACAAATCGGAATGACCATAATCCTTCTCAAAAGGATAAAAGTAAAATCAAATGCTTTACTTGTGAACAATTTGGTCATTATGCTTCGGAGTGTCCAAACAAGAATCGAGGTGAGGAGGCAAACCTCACTCAAGCCAACGAAGAAGAGCCTATTTTAATGATGGCAACCTCACAAGAATATGCACACAAAAAAGTGTCTCTAAGAGAGAAGATTTGTGTTAATCTTCTTGCATCGGGAGAAAGTCGAGTCGAGTCTGAGGTATGGTATCTCGACAATGGTGCTAGCAATCACATGACTGGAGACCGCTCAAAGTTTCGGGAACTAGATGAGCACGTTACGGGCCATGTGAAATTTGGGGATGGTTCGACCGTCGCTATTTTGGGAAAAGGGTCGATTTTATTCGATAGCAAAAATGGCTACCAAAGACTCCTTAATGAGGTATATTTCATTCCAAGTCTAAAAAACAATATTATTAGTCTTGGACAAATGACGGAGGAAGGGAGTCGGGTCATAATGGATGGGTCGGATCTGACATTGTTTGACAGAAACAAAACTCTACTTTTGAGAGTTAAACGATCCCCAAACCGGTTATATAAAACTGCTTTAAGGATCGGTAGACCGACTTGTCTTTTAGCAACAAAAGACGAACCAGCTTGGATATGGCATTCTAGACTTGGTCATGTTAACTTTCTCGCCTTAAAGAAGTTGTCCGAAAAGAATATGGCAATCGGAGTCCCAAAGATTGAGCACCCAAACCAAGTATGTGAAGGGTGCGTTCTTTCCAAACAAACCCGAATTCCTTTCCCGGATCATGCAGTTTTTCGAGCTCAAAAACCTCTACAACTTGTTCATGCGGACTTATGTGGTCCGATCACACTTACGTCTGTTGGAGGGAGTAAATATTTTCTCCTTTTAGTAGACGATTTTAGCCGGTGGATGTGGGTTTACATGCTATCGGAGAAGTCTCAAGCCTTGAGCGCTTTCAAACGGTTCAAGTTGATGGTTGAAAAGAATTCGGGTTATCAAATAAAGACACTTCGAACGGACCGAGGGGGAGAGTTCACTTCAAAAGAATTCTCATTATTTTGTGAAGAAAATGGTATTCAAAGGCATCTTACGACACCATATTCGCCTCAACAGAATGGAGTTGTAGAAAGGCAAAATCGGACCGTTATGGACATGGCAAGAAGTCTGCTCAAAGGTAGAAATGTTACGGGAGAGTTTTAGGGAGAAGCAGTTAGACATGCAGTTTATCTTCTCAACCGCCTACCAACAAAAGTACTTCCCGACAAGACGCCTTATGAAACATGGTTTGGCAAAAAGCCCAACCTTGAACATCTAAAAGTTTTTGGTTGTGTTGCTTTTGCTAAACTTATAGGTGGTCACTTGAAGAAGCTTGATGATCGAAGTAAGAAGATGGTGTATTTAGGTGTGGAAGATGGAACTAAAGGCAACCGTTTGTTTGATCCGCAAGACCGAAAGTTGCGAGTTAGTCGCGATGTTGTTTTTGACGAAAAAGAAGAATGGAATTGGTACAAAAACAAAGAAGAAGAGATGGCGACTCCTAAGACCTTTACCATAATTGAACCACAACCCCAATTACACCTCGAAACACCTCAAAATGACCCCGAAATCAATCCGGAACAACCAAACAGCCCAGGAATCGATGTTATCCAAGTTGGACAACCATATGCTGAATTTGACGAGCCTGAACCAGCTCCACATACTCCTGTCTCAGCCCCGTTTTCTTCAACCTCGCCCCATATGGAAAGCCCTTCTAGTGAGATTGGGCCAAGGGGATTGCGTCCGTTAACCGATATTTATTCTGAAACCGAAAATGTGTTCCTTGAACCCGAAGAATTGTTGATGATTGCAGCAGATCAACCCTTGAATTTTAAAGAGGCGGTAACCTCTAAGGCATGGCAGGAGGCTATGCAAACAGAGTTGGATGCAACCGAGAAGAACAAGACATGGCAACTTACCGATTTGCCACCCGGACACAAAGCAATCGGTTTGAAATGGGTGTTTAAAGTGAAGAAAGACAACTTGGGAAAAGTGGTGAAGCATAAAGCTCGACTTGTAGCAAAAGGATTTGTACAAAAGGAAGGAGTCGACTTTGATGAAGTTTTTGCACCGGTAGCACGACTTGACACCGTAAGGCTCATTCTTGCCTTAGCAGCTCAACATGGGTGGGTTGTCCACCATCTCGATGTCAAATCGGCTTTTCTCAATGGAGATCTCAAAGAGGAGGTTTATGTCACCCAACCAGAAGGTTATGTTGATAGCAAGAGCACAAGTGGAATGATTTTCTATCTGGGAAGGAATGCGATAACTTGGCAATCCCAAAAGCAAAAGACTGTTGCTTTGTCCACGTGTGAAGCCGAGTTCATGGCAGCTACAACAGCAGCATGTCAAGCCATTTGGCTTGCTAATCTCGTGAAGGAGCTCACGGGACATCATATTATGCCTATCACCTTATATGTCGATAACAAGTCAGCAATCGCATTGATGAAAAATCCTGTGTTTCATGGTCGAAGCAAACACATTGACATTCGTTATCACTTCATACGAGAATGTGTTGAACGTGGGCAAATTATAGTGGAATATGTCAACTCGAAGGATCAACGGGCGGACATCTTTACAAAGGCTTTAGCATACGTGAAACATAGTGAAATGCGAAACATGATCGGCGTGACGAATCTCTAGCCAAGTTCGGTTTAAGGGGGAGAATGTGAGTGTAAACCAGACTTGGTGTGAACCTGACATCAGTAGCTGCGCCTCTATCTATGTTGACAATAAGAACTCAAATGGCAACTTCGTATGTTCACATAATGAACACAATAAATGGTAGCAGTAGTAATTGTAGGCTTGTTTAAGTATAAATAGAGGCTCTAACCTCAGTTGTAAGACACCACAAAACAGAGAGTATAGTGTGTAATACTTAGAGTGAGTATTAGAGGGTTGTTTCTTTTCTTGTAATATTGAGCGTGTAAGCTCTTCTCTTTTGTTCTAGTTCTGAATAAAAGTGTGTTTCAACCCCAACAAAATATTGGGCATTGAACTTGGTGAAAGCAGCCCATTTCTTTTTTCCAGATTACACAACCTTTTAGTTGTAGAGGGTTGTGGTAATGCGGTCATCTTGGAACAAGGGACTGCAGTCACCGGTTGCTCAACAACTTGTCGCAATGAGAGTGTTGGCGTGAAAGACAAGTGCCTTGGCATTACTTGTTGCCAAACAAGACTTCCTTATTATCTTAAGAGTTACAGCATGGATCTCACCGGCTTGGAAAGACAGGGTGGGGATGAAGCTTGTTGGTCTGCCTACTTGGTGGACAAGAAGTCATATGATGAGGGAAGGTTTTCTGGCAAATCTGTTGCCGGGGACAACACTTACATCCCCATATCACTGCTGTGGACTTTGTCAGAGCGTGAGTCCAGTCAAATAGAGTGTTGTTTTTCGGGGTTTAATATTTTCAAAGCTGATACGGGTAATGGTGGTTCAATCAGGTCGTGGAAATGCGTTTTTCCAATGAGCAATAAAGGAAATCCTTATTTAGTTGATGGATGCTACGGTATGTAATTTTGTATTTGGTATTTAATTTTTTGTTTTACTTTTCTAGGGTGAACATTTTTTAACAAGGGACATTTTCTTATATGACGTGCTTTCAGATGATGAAAAATGTGCAAGGTGTGCAGAGGACGGAGGTGCGTGTGAATACTATGATGTATATGATGATTATGACAGGATTAGCGAATACGAGTTCGTTTGTTCTCACGTCATGAAGGGTAATCGAAGACATTCTAAACCCACGTTATCCATTGGTGCTATTCTAGGTAATGGTTTATCATCCATATACAGATTATATTCGAGAGGAGCTGATGAAGTTTGTATTAGGATTATTATCTACTTTTCATAATCTTTAAAAAAAATTAATAAAACGGATATTTTGAAAATTATTTTCCAAACTATTAGTTAGATGTCGATTTCTCATTTCTCAACCACTATTTTGGTTTTTGGATCACTAAAATTGATATTTGTCCAAGTATGATCTCTTATTCAAGTATAATTACAAAAGATCTAGTTTGTATGATAGAATGAAATAATACATGAATGTAATGAAGAAACGTACATAATTGAACGAAATGAATCATTATATTTAATTATCATCGTTTATTTGGTTTGAAAGAAAGGAATGGACAATTCCAAACATGTTATTAATAAATATAAATAAAAATATTGTTATTTTGTAAGATAATTAACTTTATTTAAACAAAAGTAAACCATTATAAATTGAATATCGATATCATATATCAGATATTCTTTTTTCTTGCGATTGATGGTTATTTAGATTGTTTAAAAATAGATTAGATTTGATTTTAAAATAAATAAATAAATTAAACATAAACATATTTCATTTGGTACAAAATTGAAAATTCATGTTTTATGTTCAAATAGATAAAAAAATTGATGTCGTGTTGTCCTTAATTCAGGTATTAGCATAAGCATCGGTGTAGTTTTTCTTCTGGCGATCAGCTATGCCTCGTACAAGGTGATCAACGAAGCAATAGCCAGGAGACGCAGAATGAGATATATTAAACGGAATGGGGGCCGACTACTAGAACAACAAGAAAAATCCGACCCATCCTTAGTTGGCAAAACTATGCTTTTCTCTTTACATGAATTAGAGAAAGCCACTGACCGCTTCAGTGAGAAGAGAATTCTTGGTGTGGGAGGCCAAGGTACAGTTTACAAAGGGATGCTACTTGATGGAAGAACCGTAGCTGTTAAGAAATCAGAAAGAGTTGTTGAAAGCCAACAAGAAAAATTAATCAATAAACAATTTATCAATGAGGTGGTGATTTTATCCCAAGTCATTCATCGGAATGTGGTCAAGCTATTGGGATGCTGCCTAGAGACCAAGGTTCCTTTACTTGTTTCGGAATTCGTTTCAAATGGAACCTTATACGACCGCATTCACAAAGAAGCCAATGAATTTCCACTTTCATTGAAAATGAGAATACAAATCGCTACTGAGGTTGCAAGAGCACTTGCGCACTTGCATTCAGGAACTTCCATCCCGATATACCACATAGACGTTAAAACCAGCAATATACTTTTAGATGATAATAACATGGCCAAAATTTCTGACTTTGGAACCTCAAGGAATATATCACCGGATAAGACTCGTTTGACTACTATGGTCATTGGTACCGTTGGCTACCTTGACCCAGAGTACTTGCAGACTGAGCACTTTAATGAAAAGTGTGATGTATACAGCTTCGGAGTTGTTTTGGTTGAACTCTTAACCGGGGAAAAACCAATGTTCCAAACTACATCCGGTCAAAAAACACAGTTGGCTGCGCACTTCATTTCAACTATGGAAGAAGGATGTGTGATCTCGATTTTTGATAAAATGGTCATTAACGAGGGTACTACGGATGAACTATTGGCACTAGCTAACCTTGCTATGCGATGCTTGTGTATAAAGGGGAAAGATAGGGCCACAATGATGGAAGTTGAACAAGAATGAGAATCCATAAGGACATCACACTTTCCATCTACGGTTCAACCTAATATAGATCACGTGATGGGCAAGGGCAAGCAGATATTAACGATGCCAACTACTGCTGAATCATCATCAACACCATTCAAGAGTTTTAATGAACCCAGTACTAGTCAATGATCGATACCAAAAGATTTATCGTTAGTCATATTTAATCCTTTTATATTTTCATATGGTTTAATGTATGGAATAATAAATTAATCGAAGTTAGCAAATTCAATACATTTTTTTTGCCTTCTTCAATGGTGCTGTACACCTTCTTTATTTTATCGTATCCTATGAACACAATCTCGGGTATAACAAAAATTTTATTCTGATAATTGTGTAACGGATTCAATATCGTGAAATATGGAAAGATAATCACTCATAATAATAGGAGATTATTAAGGTTGGACTGTGAATGCATAGTATGAGTTACCAGTATAGTACCATTGAAATATATTTTAAATGGACGGAAAATAGATTATTATTTAAGGGAAATTGAATTAATTTTGATTGGTCATAAATTGTCCTTGCATTCATTATATATGAGAGCTGATATTTGCACATGATATTTTAACGGAAGAAATTAATTTATGACTAAATTACCCCTATTTACTTAAGAGAGAGAATCCCAATCTTTGTTTAGAAAAAACTCACATCAGTTTCATTCGAAACAATCCAGATAATCCCAACTTATTTTTTTTCCTCAAATCATTTTTCATCACCCAATACGATTAGAATTAATGTTTCTCTTGTGATTCTCATGCTTTTATCATCTTGGAATCACCCACCATAATTATTTTTTTAATGGCCAATATTATATATAAATAAGCAACAACATGATATGGGAATTTATACAGTACATTAACTAAAACGAAAGCTAAGGGCAGAAAAAAAACCGCATGTTTGAAATGTATGATGGGGTGGATGAACTGATGCAAAATTGAAGAGTGGAAATATCCACCAACCAATCGATAGAAAGATAACAGTAATAAGGGTTGAATTATTTATTTATTTTTTGAAACGACAATATGTATAAAAACTAAAAACCAGCACAAAGTTGGAAGAAAGTACAAATGAACCATAAACAAAATATAAACTAGAAGTAATTATAAAGTGTCAGCTAGAATACGGGATCCTAACTCTTAAGGCACCAGACTAATGGGAACACCATATTTGCAAAACATGATGTTTCTAAACATCAAAGCATTGAGGGCACACCATGTTAAAGCTAAAGCTTGATGCGTCTCTATTGTCCTGCTTAAGGTATCGTGTTTTTTTTGGTCTAAAATATTATGACAGAATCCCGTCAAAAACAGCCGAATCTGTTGACACTTGTTGATTACGTGCTCACATGCATCAGAGGTCAAGGTGAAATTGTTTCCGTTGATTACTCTTAGTCATTGGATACAGTGCAATTTGGAGCATATGGAAGACCAGAAACAACTTGATTCTCAACTGGAAAAGATCTTCCCCTGCATTCAAATTTGATAATGTTGTATCTTTGGTCTTTTTATGGCTTAAACATAAGGGGAAAATGGAGAAATTAGATGCATAGTTGTGTATCTCTCTTTTCCATTGATGTAAAGACTTGATGTTTATTTTGCCTTCCTAATGGCTTATAAAATTCTTGCCAGTTCAAAAAAAAAAAAGCTAGTAGGCACAACGATGAACTTTGACAAAATCCTTGTGTGAAGAATTCACCAATGAAACCACTTCGAAATTAGAGACTTATAACTTTGTGTTGGGATGCAACGAACTCATTTAAAACAACTCATTTGGCTGAAAAGAAGTTGTATAGATTTATGGCCAGGGAAACAGATATCAATGTTAAGACAACATCACAAAATAACATTATAGTTTATCTATTTCATGAGCATTGTCCTTTCGTATTAGCGAAGACAAGACAATACCAAACCAGCAGAAAATCACGAAGAACAAATGCTTGGAGACTAAATGGTTGAGCAACTCCAAAATGACAATAACAAAAGACAGTCGGGTGATCATGTGTTTTTTCTTACATTCACCTCCGTTTGAATCAACATGACCAAAACAGTTATACCCTTATTTACTTGAGAGAGAATCCCAATCTTTTTTGACACTCATTAAATGAAGGGTATATTGGTCATTATATTAATATTTCAGTGGAAATAGTAAAAATTACTGTGGAAAAATCATCGCCCATTATATATAGTGTTCTTAAAAAAACCTATCTCTCTCTCTATATATATATATATATAGACACACACAGAGAGAGAATCAATTGAAAACCCTAAAAGGATTGAAAACACGAGAATAATTCTTGACCAATCAACATATAAAATTTAGGCATTATGTTTGATTGTTACCTAAAAACAAATTTAATGATTTTTTTATTATAACAGGAGATATTCCATTTTTTTTTCTAACTAATCCTTTAATATTGATTCATACGATTTCTCTCAGAATGATTAAAAACATATTTAAGTATATTATTTAGTAGTTTTGATATTTTACTCATTGAAAAATCATGTTCTGGTATATCCATTAATAAATTAAAACATATGTGTAAATAATTTTTAAATATTTTATTTAATCATATTATGTTTATCATGAATGATTATAAGTAACAATAAATGTTAGAAATGTTAAAACACAATGTATAGACCAATACACTTATAATTATAAATGAATAAAACCCAATATATAGATTACACATTGAATACATTTGGAATCCTACAAGAATATAACACAATAAAAAACAATGTAATAAAAAAAAAGATAATAATAACATGATAAAAATACAAAAAAAAATAAAAAAATAAAAAAAAAATACATTTGTAATCATAAACCAATAAACATCTATATAGGTGAATTAAAATTATGATTCATCTTCAGCTATATTTATCAATATCGATTTTGAAGAATATTTTTTGAACTTAGGTTAAACAGTGTGAATATGTATTCCGTAGACATTCACTTTTCCTTTTTGCTGGTCTTAGACATTAAAAAATCAAATTACATGAATTCGATGGTCATGTACAAAAAGTAAAAAGAATGTTATATTCATTATGACTTTCATTAATTATTCTACTACCAAAGTAAGTCGCAAGTTATTTACAAATGATGACATTTTCAATCTTTATTAATGATTTTACAAATACATTGTGACAACCCGTTATTTTTTCTTCTTTGTAAAAGTCAACAAAAGTCAACTCTCGTCAAACTTTATGAATTATTTAATTTAATAAAGTTAAATTTATATATTTGATACACTTAAACACTTGGTAAAAGTGTTGTAGAATTTAAGAAGTAGGAACATCAAAATTCCGAGGATCTTCGCAACCGCAAACCCTCGCTTCTTCTTCTTCTTTCTTTTCTTTGGACCGCAAACCGAAGAGGGCCGCAAACTGTTTGCAGCCGCAAACGGTTCACAACCGAGAACCACTCCTCGAACCGCAAACCCTCGGATCTTATCTCCTCAGGAAGTGTTTTCGGCCGCAAACTCGCATGTATATATACGAGAAGTCCGGATTTTTCTCTCATTCTTACACTTCTAGCCAAAAACTCACACTTCTCTCTCAAAAACATCAACCGAAAACTCTCATTATCTCTCAACTATCATCCAAATTCCTTCGAATCTCCTTTGGATCTTGCCAAGAACACCGAGTGTTCTTCGTTTCTACAAGAAAGAATCTTCCAATCTTCATATCTTTGGGCCATAAACCCTTGAATCTTCTTGGTTTCACCAAGAACAACAAGAACACACACTTAAAGGTGGCTGCAAACTCTCTCTTTTGGCCGTTAACTCTAAACAGCCTCACAATTTGCTTCTAACACCCCTATTTGTAAGTGAGTCTTACATATTAGGTTGTTTCCTTAACATATTTGCCAAATATGTTCACTAATTGTATACATGTATATTACATAAAATGCTAATTAGGACTCGGTTTTGCTACGGGATTTCACTCGTGGAAATAACATCCTATATCGAACCTTCAAACGAATCACTCACAAAAGGTGAGTTCATACCCTTGCATTTTCACTATTTTTACAGTTTTAAGGGAGGGAATACAAGTCTAACACAAGGAAATTGTGTTACAAACAAAGGATTCCTAAATATTTCAATAATGACATCAAGTCACCAAAACCCTTTCAAATGTTATTAACTCTTTTAAATACATTAAATCCTCTTTTCAAACTTATATTGCCAAAAATCATATTTATCTATATATATATATATATATATATATATATATATATATATATATATATATATATATATATATATATATATATATATATATATATATATATAAATAAGATTTCAAGGGCTTAGGACTAATAACTCGCCTTATTTCCTTTTCCTTGTTTGGATGTGGGCTTAGGGTATAGTTATTTGTCTGAATGTCAATTAAATTTTAGTTATATATATATATATATATATATATATATATATATATATATATATATATATATATTTATATATGTATATAAATATAAAAGTTGTTTCATTCAGTTTCAACACCCTTTGTAACATGTCGAGCATATAAATTATAATAGGTATAATGAACAGTTTATACTAATACAGAACGTGCATATAAATTATAATAGGTATAATTTATGATTCAAGAACACTATTTTACTAAGTCAAGTATTCAAGGTTACACTATTTTGCTAAGACAAGATTTGATTGAAAACTAAACACGTGTGTATAACTTACATTACATTTCAAGGGTACAAATCAAGGAACATACTTTCAGTCGTTTATTTTAGAATGACTGTGTTTTTCATTATTATACAAGTAATCGTCAATATGGTTTTTGAGAGACATTTGTTAATTGGCTTATTTATTAATTTGAGTAAGCAACACTATTAAAGTCCTGATGATTATAACCAGAATCCATGAACGGGAACGAGACAAATGTGTATAGATCTATATGGGATTGACAATCGCGCACTCAGAATGTTAGCTACAGTCAGGCAGGCACGCCTATGAGTGACAA